CAAATAGAATAGTGTATCTGGTTTCCAACTTTACTATAGACACAAGCAAGAATAACAGAAAAAGATGTGATTATTTAAGTTTAACTTATTTACACTCTGATGGAAGACACCTCGAAGCAACAGTTGGACTTTCTTAGCTCATTTGTTTTTATATAAATAGCTATTTTTTATAGAAAATATAAATGAACAATATTTTTCCTTATATTTACTATTGAATCATATAGTACAAAGATTTTTCTCTGATATAAAAGTTTCAACAATGATCAACATTTTAGATCTTTTCTTTTTTTATTTGAAAATATTGCTGCCATTGCCGAATATGTTTCTTAAAATATTTATTGATTAGTATTTAATCGATAAATATTGACAAATGATGTAACATTAACTTCTAATGTAGAAGACAAATTAGATATCATATCAAATGAACTATTTGAATTATTCTAACTGATTGGTTCAGGTACCTATTGTCGTGAATTTTTTTCGTTACTAATTATTTTGATAGAGTCGCAAACTTAATGTTTTTATTGAGAATTCATTTTGAACTTTTATTTAGAAACAAAACAAAATCTGACTTATTTTTTGTGTCATAAATCAAATAATACGAAACAATATGAATGTTTATCACTTATAAATTTGTTTTATTCAATAATATCTGTATGAATTTACTGAGAGTTGCTCTATAATCTAAATTCGAAACAGATTGACTTTTTACTGAAAGAAATATGAAAATATATCACAAATAAAAACATAATTTTTCAAAAAACCTAATAGTTTCATGTTAATTCTTGTTCATTAATTTCTACAGTCTTGAGAAAGCACTAAGGAGAAATACACTCTTTATAACTGCACCTCTACATAATCGTCACAAATTAAGCTATTTCTTTGATTAATGATATAGTCAACAATGAATTAATCTCTATTCAAAAAATAATATCTTTTTTGAATCAATGCCTTTGCATTTAAAAGTAAAGTCTCAAACAAAATCGAATGACATCATTAATTTATTAAAATCTATAGTGTTTTTCTAAATTTAATTCTTACTTTGATCAAATCTAATTTTTTTTTATTTCTACTTTAAAATATTTTTTTTTAAATTTTATTTCATGTGTTTTTATAAAAGGTATCCCCCAAGCGTTTTTTTAATTATGCTGAATTTTATTCATGACATCCATAATTTTTTTGGGCGGTCTTTTACACTTTTGGCGGACGCTTAGGAATGTATGCAACAGACAAGATAATGATAACAAACAGAGAAAGAATACAAAGAAATGAAAACCGAATTCAAGTCAATGATGACGATGTAGCGTGCATCGTTCCTTTTCTTTTATTTATTCTTCCGATACCATATATCTTGACACCAAATGCATCATGCCGAGAGAAGGGATCGAACTTTCTGATCTCTGACTGTAATCAGATTCATAGAACCACTAGACCATCCTCGGCTATCCCAAGCGTTTTTAAATCAATAGTGTTGACAATATCAATTTAATTAGTACATTTCTGATTTAATTCGTTTCTTAAAAGTGTACATTAATTGTGAATTAAATTTTCGATTGATGAGATAATATATATTTTTTGAGATTGACTAAGTATTCAATTTTCTTAATGGATGTTCGTTCTCAATCTTTCTTTACATTGGCATATTCTTCACTATAAGTATGTCTTTTGCTTTCGCTCTCTTTAGAGTTTTCTTTTCTTATTATCTTTTTTGCTCAGATATCATGATTCATATATTTCTTTCAGTTTTATTATCTTTTTTGTTGGGTTTTTTTTAAACTTCTTCCTAACATTTTATTTATATATACATCCGATTTTTTCTAAAACATAAGTATGTCTGTGAAGGCACAGATAATGTGAATTAGGACAGTGCAACATAAATATACTAAAAATTTAATCCAACCATTATTTATATAGTAATGAAGTTCTCAGGATTGAGTCGGAGTGAGGTTTTGAAGATTTCTCGATACTGGAAACTCGAAGTAATTTTCATGAATCTTATATCACAAGAGAAACTCATATGTCATCTAGTATTTATCTGTGTTGCATGATTTTTATGCTATTTTTTTCTTTTTACAGTTAGTACGCGACGCAAAATGTCATGGATAGATCCTAATTTAAATTTGAATGGTATTTGGACCACAATATTAGAAAATCTTGAACATATTTATCGAGCTCAAGGAATGTCGCCTACATCTTATATGGAACTTTATACGTAAATATAAGTTTATTCTTCCTTTTTTATTTCTATTTCATTATTTGAACCTTTTTTTTTATAAAGTGTGGTTTATGAGTATTGTACTAATTCTCAACCACAAAGTGGTGGATCACAAATAACTAGAAGAAGCACTCAAAATAATCGACAAAATAATCCACATGACAAAAAGAATGTTGTTGGTGAAGAACTATATAACAAATTGAAAAATTATTTAAAAAATTATTTGAAAGAAATTGTTGAAGTAAGATTATTTGCTCAAGAGAGTAGTTAATATTAATTAAATTATAAGATTATCAAGGATTTTAATTTGAATCTCTGTAAAAATGAGAGTCTATGCTTTTTTTGAACAATAATAATTTTTTCTCTCATGAGGATCATTCTATAATTAACTATAAAAAGATTGCTAATATCGGAAGAGTATGGTAGAAACATCGACAGTCAAAGTAATGAGATGACTTGTCGCATTCATGTGTAACTCATTCGTTTTTTTTTCATCGGCATACGTTTATCTTGTTTGTTAAGGAGCAAGTAATGTTAAGCCTGAAACTAAAAGAAGTAACAAAGTAACCTATCAAAAATATAATTTATCTTCGTGCTACACTCTTTCATTCTCGATCTTCGGTAGTTCTACTGCGACTTGTGACAACTAGTAATATTAATTCAAAAATCATTTTATTTCTAATATTGAGCTACTGTTATTGTTTTTAATGATGACATTTTTATTTTTGTAGGAAGCAAGTAATTTACAAGACGAAAGTTTACTTCGTTTCTACGTCACAAGATGGGAGAATTATCGATTTTCAAGTAAATTAACAAATCTCTTTTGCAGTTATCTAAATAGATGTTGGGTAGAAAGGGTATATAATGCAGGAAGAAAAGATGTTTATGAAGTTTTCACTGTAAGTAAAGTTCGATTCTTTATCTTTTCAAATTAATTATAATACTAACATTATTTTAGATGGCAATGGAAATTTGGAAACTTGTGTTCTTTCAACCATTGCAAAGTCAAGTAACATCAGCATGTCTTCAATTAATCAACGCCGAACGTCAAAATGAAATTATTAATACTCGATTTATTCGTGCAGTCGTACAAAGTTATAGTAATGATCAATATTCTTTTTTTTTCTTAAAATTTATATGGAAAATTTTAGTCGAACTTGACTTTAATGAAGATTCATTTTTACCACGTTTTATTCATCAAATGACATCTCCAACTTTGGAAATTTATAAAGATTACTTTGAAGTACCATTTCTTCAATATACAGAACAATTTTATCGTCAGGAAGCAGCTAATTTT